AAAAAAAAAAAAGAGTTAATGAGTCAAGTTAGAAAATGTACCCCAGATTTCTAGCATGCTGGAAGGCTCTAGCATTCTCCAGGCCCTGGTGGGGCTCATGGAGGGGCAAGTTAAGTGAGGTAGGGCAGGGTAAGCCTTTTGCCAGCTGACTGAGGGGACCAACAATGTCCCCAGCCCCACTGCTCATTCCCCATTACCTCATAGCTTATCACTGCTCTCCATGGTGGTGTTTTGTGCTTGTTCCCCTCCTGCCTGACTCTCCCTCATGTGAATGCCACCAGATATAACAGTCAGTCTGAGATGTGGTCACCATGGTTTAGTAGGCACTTCTGTGTGCTGTGCTCGGGTAGGATGACAAAGAACAAACTAAAAACTGGTATGAGAAGAGCCACTGATTCATCTTCATCTTGTCTTAGATTCCATTTGGAGCTTTTGCAACGTGCAAAGTTCTACAGAAAAAGGTAAGATGGACCTTCATTTCCAGAGCATGGTTTACTGCACGTTTGCTTATTGAAACCGTATATTTCAAACATGTGGGACCTTTAGGAGCTGTCTTCCTGGTATAAACACCTCCCTTCTCTTTGACCCTCACCCTTTTGGCCCGCAGCAGGTGTTTTCACAGATAGGAGGGTAGGCTTTGGGGCCGGACAGTCATGGATCACATTCTGACTCTGACCCTTGCTGGCTTCAGGCCTTGAGTAACTTCCTTAAACTCTTACATCTCAGTTTCTTCATCTGTGAAATGAAGACATTTAAAGCTCTGCTCTCTCAGAGGTATAGTGAAAACTGAGTGGTAGATAGCTAGATAGTGATACTGATGTGCTGAGTGTAATGGCTGCTATGTTGGAAGCGTGTTTTCATCCCAGTTTAATAATAGTAGACACTCATTTCATTATGCTTATGCAGGAGAGATTAGGAGGGGAATGAATGGTTTTTCAGAAGAGCATTGCAGCTTTGAATGCAGATAGGTAAGAGCACTCCAAATGCAGTAAAATGAAGATAGGCAAAAGGTATTCATACCATACTGACAGAGTAGTGAGCTCCTTGTCACTGGAAATACTAAAGCAGTGGTCAGTAAGACAAGTAGCAGTAGGTGACCCGGATTTGAGCACTGGACCATGTGTTGGCCCTGGACTAAGGACTTTTTGTCCGTTGGCTTGTTTAACGATTGCAAGAGCCCTGAAGCCAAACATTGGCTATTCTCTGTCTTCCATGGGAAGGGTATGACCAGGACAGCTGCAGGGGGATCCCCTCTTAGAATGAAAGTAGCATTAGATGTCTAAAGTCCGTGCTACCCTTGAAGATCCAGATTTTAAGGAAGGTCCCAAGTTGTGGCATCTGGGAGAGCAGAGATGCCAGGCTGTGGCAGGACCACTGTGTGCCTGCCCTGCCCTGGCTGTGAGGCCTCAGCCTGCCCTGTCTGCTGTTCTTCCTCAGCCAGATAGTTCCATAAATCTTTCCACACAGGTGTTGATCGTCCATACCAATCACCTCACCTCCCTGCTTCCCAAATCCTGCAGCCTCCTGAGTCTTGCAACCATCAAGGTACTGAGTGCTCCTCCTAGGCATCTGGGGCCCTGCATGGTGTCCAGGTGGCAGCCCAGCTCCCTGCTTTGATCCTCTTCTATTAAAGTGCATGGCAAACAGGTCAGAGGTAACCATCTGGGCTGTGGTCAACTTGGTTTATCAGGCACTTCTGTGTGCTATGCTCAGGTAGAATCACAAAGATGACCAGCCACAGTTCTACCCTCAGGAGTTTACACAGTAGGTGGAAAGCCAAATGGTAAACTCATGGCAGGTAAAACAGCAGAGCAAGGACACTGATGGTCCCAGATGGAGAAGAAGAGGAAGGATGTCCAGATAACGTGGGAAGGTTCCTTCCTGACTTTGAGCCCCTTTACAATAGGGGCTGGGATGTATTCACAGCATGTGTGAGGTGCAATGCTGGGGTCGTTCCACATGGCTGTGCACCTATCAGTGTGGTATACAGGGAAGAGCGTGGCAGCCCAGGCGCCATGGTGCTCCCCACAGTTAGCTCTGGCTGGTGGGATTGGTGGCAGTTTTTAACTGCCCTTTATTATTATGGCCCAATATGCATTATTTTTATATTCAGAAAAAATAGAATATTTCAAATACATTTTTGTATTTATGTATGTTTCATATATGTGTATATTATACATGTGTTGTCCCTTGATATTCAAGGGGGATGGGATCAGGGCCCCCAAGAATACCCGATCCTCAGATGTTCAAGTGGTCAACACTTAGTTGGAGAGGAAGAGTTGGGTGCTCTTATTTCAATATCAGGGGCACCAGGCTCCCCATGGCACCTTCTGTTCATTTTGGAGCCTAGAGCCTGAGGGACTTTCTTAGCTGGTGACTGACAGGTGTCTCCTTCTATAGGTTCTGGATCTCCATGATAATCAGCTGACAGCCCTTCCTGATGATATAGGGCAGCTGACAGCCCTCCAGGTAGGGCTGCAGGAGATGGAAACCCACCTCTGATCGCCTAAGTGAGAAATTGCGGTCACATGAGCCTGGAACCCTCTGGTTGTGCTTGCCAGGCTACACATGGTGCCAGCTTCATCCTCTTTGCTCTTGACACCCAAAGAATGCTCTTGCAGCTGCAGTCTGGGCTGTGGGTGTCTCTCAACTATATTTTTGGCATGTGCTTTTTGGGATTTCATTGTGAGCTTCCATGACTTTACAGAAAACAAATACCAGTGAGTCTACCTCTTAAAAATGTAAATTTAGGGCCAGGCCTGGTGGCTCACACCTGTAATGCTAGCACTCTGGGAGGCCAAGACTAGCGGATTAGTTGAGCTCAGGAATTCACTACCAGCCTGAGAAAGAGCAAGACCCTATCTCTACTAAAAATAGAAAAACTACCCAGGTATTGTGGTAGGTGATTGTAGTCTCAGCTACTTGGGAGGCTGAGGCATGAGCCCAAGAGTTTGAGTTACTGTGAGCTGATGATACCACAGCACTTAACCCCACAGGGCAGTAGAAACCATACCTAAAAAAAAAAAAAAAGATGAATTCAGCACTCTGACTCATGTCTCACTTCTAATCCTTGCCAGCAAGAGCCCCTACATTTACTGGGCGCTTGCTGTGTGCCAGCCTGGAGCCAGGCCTGTACCTTGCTTTACAAACTGGGGATTCCTCATAGGCACCTCTGAGGCAGGCATTCACGTGACCCCATTTTACAGAGGAAGTAGTGGCTTCCCACTGCACTTAGACTGAAATCCAGGCTATTCACTCGAACTCCCAAGACCCTGTCCTATAGACCCCTACATCTTTCCAGTCTCCCCTCCTCCTCCCAGTTTGCTTGCTGGAGTCAGCTTCTAAACAGCCTGTTCCTCTGAGCCCTACCCCAGCACTGCTTGGGCTGTTCCTTCTGTTTGAGTCCCTCTTCCTGGGACTCAAGGAGGATGTCTGCAAGGTCATCCTTCATCTCTTAGGCCAGATGTCTCTGCAGACCCTCCCCAGCCTCCTTAGGAGGGGGGCCCCTATTCATCTGTCTCCTCCTGGCCTTATTTCCTGAGAGCACAGCTGCAGCCTGTAATCCCTAACTATGTGTGTGCTGGCTCACTGTCACCTGACTGAAATGCAGTCTCTATGAGGACATCACCTCTACCTAGCATGCTGCCCATCATGTGGAGAAGACCAAGAGGGATTTGAATGAACAAACCCACGATGTGGGAAACAGTGTCACATTTTACAGAAGAGAAAACTGAGGTCCAGGGACATGACTGTAACTTGTTCAAGGTCACACAAAGAAAATGAAGCAGATGAGTAATAATTGCCATCACTTTGAGCCATCGTAAATACCCTGCTGTAGGATCTTAGGGACTTTGTTTTTATATGTATTTCTTTCTTTTTTTTTTTTTTGAGACAGAGTCTCACTTTGTCACCCTTGGTAGAGTGCCATGGTGTCATAGCTCATAGCAACCTCAAACTCTTGGGCTCATGGATCTTCTTGCCTTAGCCTCCCAAGTGGGTGGGATTACAGGCACCGGCCACAATACCCAGCTTTATTTAGAGATGGGGTTTTGCTGTGGCTCTGGCTAGTCTCGAACTCCTAAGCTCAAGCAATCTACCTGCCACGGCTTCCCAGAATGCTAGGATTATAGGCATGAGCCACCACCCCACCTGGCCCTTTATATGTATATTTTTATAGAATTGCTGCTTTCACTGTTCTGTAACTTTCGGATTCCTGACAGTAAAGTATAAGGTCCTTTGGGTCATCAAATATTCATCTCCATGCTATTTTTAGTGGCTATTTAGCTTTTCCACTATAGCTACTTAGTGCATCATCCTGTTGGCCTTGCTCCCTTCAGGGCACCACATCCTAGTGGGAACACGGCTTTTGGGATCCAACAAGCCCTGGTTCCAATGCCAGAACCACTGACTACTGGCCTTGAGCCCCAGGGCAGCTCATATGTCTTTGTGAAGCTGGGTTCCTACCAGGTGCTGCCTCACCCAGACCTGTGGGTCTGTTAGTCTTCTTCTCCCTCTGTGATTGGGGGTAGTTAGTGAGTATTTTGTAATTGGCATCAATGAATACCCTCAGCCAGAACTGGATTCAAGGTCTAGCTTTGCTCTCTTGAGCACATGACTTAATCACTCAGATCCTCAGTTTTCTCATACCTTGAACAGGATCATAGCAATCTATAGCTTCTTCACTGTGCTGGCAGGAGATGAAGGCAGATGTGTGTGGTGCCTGGATAAGGCCTGGCCCAAAGCAGGGGCAGGGGCTGCAGGGCTGGTCCCTGTAGTCTGTGTGAGGGTTCCCTGTGTCATTTTTTCCGGGTTCTTAGGTATTGAATGTGGAAAAGAATCAACTGACACATCTTCCACGATCCATCGGGAACCTGATCCAGCTTCAGACTCTCAATATTAAAGGTAAGGGGCCAGGGATCCCTGTCCCTGTAACTCTCAGTCAGCTCTGGACTGTCCCACCAAATCCACTGGGTGCTCTTCCTGGGAGCCACTGAGCGTGAGGGCAGCTTGTCTCCAGGTGTCGCTATAACACTATTGACCATCTGCTGGGTTGGTCGTTTTCCATGGTACCCATTGACAGGCTGTCTGGAGGGTTCCTGTGACTCTTTGGAGCCAGGGCCCTGTGGGGAGTGCAACAGACAGTGTTGGCAGGCCCCGTGGCTCAGTGATTCGTATTTATAACAATGGGTTGTGGGATGCGCAGCAGACTGGGTGAGAGCTCTCCCACTCAGAGGTACAGGGAGCCTTATGGCGAGTCCACAAGGATGGGGCAATATTCCCATTGACAGATGGGGAAAGTGAGTGTGACATGCTTATGGCTGTCCAGTGCAATTGTGACCAAGTTGAGATTCTACAACAGGCTCCATACCCTCAGAAGAGGGCTTGCCCCCCTGGACCCTCAGCTTCCCACATCTTCTCGCTGTCCCTCAGCACTTCCTGCCTTAGAGAGCCTCAGTATATCTAATTGTAGTGTGCAAATAATGATAAAAGTCGTGGCACTCCATTTATTAATCACTGTCTGTGTGATAGGCACTGTGCCGTGGCCAGGGAGGTAAGTCAGGTGACCAGAGTCACTCATCCACTCATCTAGTTAGTAGGAACTTGAACTGAAGCTCCACCTTCGCATCCTTACTCACCAAGACCAGGGCCTGGGACCTGGTGTGTGCCCTAGAGGTCAGAGTGAGGCACTGAGCTCCCTGAGTCCTAGTGGGCTTCAGGCAGGAAGCTGGTGACAGGGCTTCAGGGTATTGAGCTATGCCACTGGGATCTCTGCAGACAATAAGCTGAAGGAGCTTCCAGAAACCATGGGGGAACTTCGAAGCTTACGTACTCTGGACATCAGTGAAAATGAGATTCAGAGATTGCCACAGATGCTGGCTCATGTTCGAACCCTGGAGGTAAGTGGGGAGCCATTCTTACCTGGAGTCCTCTCTGGCCTGCCCAGCTCCCTTCTTCCCACATTTCTGAGTGCATGTCCCTGTCACAGGGTTCTGGGGTCACAGGGACGGTGTGGCTCCTTAGGTGTCATGTAGAGACAGTGTGTCAACATTTGCTGCCATGACAGAGGCAGAAAAACATTCTTCTAGAGTGTAGAAGAGAGAAGGCCAAATCTGGACAAAGTTACACTTTAGGAAAATTGTGGTATTAGAAACAGAACTAGAAAGAGGAATAAGATTTTTGAGAAGTAGGCAAGGATAACAGCAGAGTCACAGGTGGAGGAGGCAGGCAGTAGGGAAGCACAGGGAGTCTAGGGAAGGGCTAAAAAGCCACAAGGTTAGAAGTTGCTGTGCCTGGAGGGCCCAGATCATAAAGAACCCAGAAAGTGGAGGGAGTGGGGTGGGAGCAGGAATCACCCAGGGGCTGGGCCTCAGCTGGGCAGTGCAGAAACTTGGTTTCCTCAGAGCAGGGGGAGGGCTGGGAAGGGGATACACAGCTGCCATAACAAGTAGTACTATTGGGGATAGAGGAACTTAAACAATAAAAATTTATTTTCCTGTAGGCTAGAGGTCCAGGATCAAGGTATTGGCAGGATTGGTTCCCCTGAGCCCTGTCTCATTGGCATGTAGATGGCCATCCTCTCCCTATGTCTTCTGTCATCTTCCCTCTATACTTGTCTTGTCCAGCTTTCTTCTTAGAAGGACACCATCGTACTGCAGTAAGACCCAGCCTAATGACCTCTCTTTAACTTAATCACCTAAAGGCCCGGTCTCCAAGTGTAGTCACGTTCTGAGGTATGGGAACTTAGGATTCTGACATATGGATTTGGGTGGGAGGGACATAGTTCAGCCCACATCAGATGCCAACATGAGGCAGCCCACTTAGAGGAGGTGGGATCTGACAGCCGTGACAGTGAGACGGCACTAGCTCCCTGAATCCTAACAAAAGTCTCGTGGGGCAAATACCATGATGCAGATGAAGAGACTGAGGCATGGACAGTTGCAGGAGCTTGCCTGAGGGCCACACGGTTAGTAACAGCAGAGGTGGATGTAAATCAGGCAGTCTGAACCTGACACCTGTGCCTCCAGTCTGTGTGACTCAGCTTCTGGAGCGGGGCCTTATCCACACAGTAACAAGCAATGTAGCTGGGCATCCCAGCATCCTCTGACAAGCCATCAGCAGATTCACTCTCTCTGGCCAGATGCTGAGTTGAGGTGTCTGAGTCAGAGTGGACAGCTGGGCCCAGACACAGAACAGAGTGGGGTGGCTGACCTCAGTGGCTGGACACATCCTGCCTCAGCAGCTAGCCTGAGATAGGACAGGCTGGGGAGACAGGCCAACCCAGGTTCATTCTCTGTGCTGCCTACTAGACCTTCCTGAAGTGATAGAAATGTCCAAGGCCTGTGCGGTTCCAAGCAGTAGCTGCTAGCTGAATGCATGACCAAGGAACTAAAAGTCTGATTTTATTGACTTTTAATTCATTCCTATTTTAATAGCCATGGATGCCCATTGGCTACTCTTTTAGATGATGCAGCTTGGAGCACGTGTTCCTAATCCTGGAGCTATCCTAAGATAGCTTATAAGAGCTCTGGATTTCATTTTTTAAGAAATCTTTTTGGTGGCACCTGGAACAAACCTTCTTTTAGGATGAGAGAGCCACAGCCATTCTTAGAGAAGGCTGTGCTGTGTGCTAGGTCTTCAGATGTCAAGCATATTACCCATTAAACTGCCTACCAGGTCGTTGACACTGTGACTGTTTGGCTCTGAGGTAGCCACAGCTCAATAAAGTTAGTGGCCTGTTAAGGGACATAGCTGGGACAGGAAGAGCTGGGACTTGAAGCCAGGGCCATGTGTTTGGGCTCAGCAAAGTGTCCAGTGGCTATTCCTTCTGCCAGTAATGGGAAGGTCCTGTGATCTGTGCTGCCAGCATGGTAGCCACTAGCCACCTGTGGCTACAAGGAACTTGAAATGTGGTGAGTACAACCAAGGACCTGAAGTTTAAATGTGATTTAATTCCAATTAATTAACATTTAATTGTAAATGACCACACCTGGCATATAGCCACCATCCTGGACAGTGCAGTCCAGGGTCCAGTACATGTAACTGATGGTGACTATCAGCACCCTGTGTGGGGTTAATTTGCTTCAGATTGGGTATCCCAGTGTAGGGTTTTTCACCCCTGGACTCCCCCCACCCCCTTGACAGTCAGTTCCTCTGCCCTGGAGCAGTCTCCCACTTGCTCAGCAACCACCGTGCAAAGGCTGTGCTGGCCAGGCCAGGGGCCTGGGTGACCCTTGCCACCAGCCACTATGTTGCTGTGAAATCAGCCAGCTTCCTGGCTGGCTCCAGGACTCCCCTGACCCCCAGGCATGGAGGATTTTAGTTCTTACCAATAATTGGTGGGTCAGAGGGTCTCTGGGAAGTCAGAGGTCAGTAGGAGGAGAGCTCTATCCAGAATAACTCACAACCTGAGTGGGGCGGCCTTATGGGCGTGTGTGTGAGAGAGTGAACCAGGACCCCTGCATCCTGGGCTTTATAAACACAGAAGTATGTGCACACGCCCATACACATTTATCCTTTCTTACTGAGACTTAGTGTTATGTCTCTAAAATACAAAAAAAAAAAAAAAACCATACCGGGGTGGCGCCTGTGGCTCAAAGGAGTGGGGCCCTTTATGCTGCCGGCCCCGTATGCCAGAGGTGGCGGGTTCCAACCCAGCCCCGGCCAAAAAAAAAACAAAAACAAAAACCATACTGTATATTGTTAACAAAAGTTCAAATACTAGAAAAAATTTCATGTAGACAGTACCCCAGAGCTTCCCCTAGAGGGAGCCACTTGGAGCTTGGTGCGTATTCCTCCAAGTTATCGTTATAACACGCTCATATGAGAATGTATGAGTGCATTTGTTAACAAATGTGAAGTCATATTCTATGCACTGTCCTGTAACTTCCCTTTTTTACTTCCATATTTAACCAAAGATATGAACTAAGTATTTACCACATGCCAGTGGCTTTCCTTGGTGCTGGGAATGCAGAGGGAGCAGACAGTGAGCACACAAGTTAATAAGGGAATCAGGCAGTCTCCGATTGTGTTGGGAGTGAACTGTACAGTAAACAGGGGTCCCCTGTGTCTGCAGACGCTGAGCCTCGATGCCTCATCCATGGTCTACCCTCCTCAGGAGGTGTGCTGCGCTGGCACCACAGCCATCCTGCAGTTCCTCTGCAAAGGTAAAGCCAGGCCACCTACCTCTTCCCCTCATTGAGGAAACAAGACCCATTGGCCACCCAGTGCTATCCCAGACTGGGGGACAGCAGAGACCAAACTGCCTACAGTGTCTGCTCTCTTGGAGCTCCAGGTCTGACAAGGGACACAAGCAAAACAAATGATTACACACAGACTATTGTTATAAGACATCATCATGGGGCATCTGGTATAGGTTGAGAAAGTAGCTGACACTTGAGGGATGCTTAGGACTTAGGAGAGGGGGAAGGCTGCTCCTAGCAGAAGGAAGCGCGCATGGAAGGGCCTTGAGGGGCAGGGGAGTCCAGAGCACAGTGAGGAGAAGGCCAGTGTGGCTGGAGTCCCGAAGCAAAGGGAAGAAGCTGGAGAGGCCATCTGGGCCCAATCCCAGAGTCAGACAGAAGAGCCTTATTACTAGACACATTGGCGGCAGTGAGAGGAAGGGATTGAAAGAGTGGAGGGCAGGAGATAGGGGATTTGGGGCTATCCAGGAGAGAAACAGTGGTGGCCTGGACTTGGAGAAGGGTGTGTGCAGCCAGTGGAGAGCAGGATGCCCCAGTCTTGGCGGTTCATGTCACCTGTGGAACTTTCAGAACATAACCAAGACTCCTATGCCTATAGTCACCTGACTTATAGTGACCATTGCTAAGCAGTGGGAATGGATGGTGTTTTCAATAGATGATTTTGGATCAATTGGATGCCTTATGGAAAAAGCGAACCTTAATTTCTTCCTTAAATAGGAGACAGCACTAATCATGTGAGTTTGGTAAGTAGATTTAGTTAAACTCAAAACTTCTCTTCAAGAGAAACCACCTAGGGAAAGAAAAGGAAAGCCACAAAGTCCAAGATGATATTTGCAGTATGAACATATCCAGGACAGGACGGATCTAGATACAGAAAGAACTCACACAGGTCTGTAAGAAAAAGGCATTAGCATAAGACTTGTGGAAGAATAAATAGTATCTGAAAAAAAGCACTTTTAGTCAACAGGAAAATGCAAATTAGATTAAAACTGCAAAGAGAGTTACCTTGATTTACCCACAAAAATGGCCAAAATGGAACTGTCAAAACCAAGAATTATCAAAGATGAGGGGGCAACAGGAATTTTCATATACCTCATGTAGGCTTGAAAATGGAAAATTATTTTAAAAATTGTTGTCAGTATCTAATCAAGCTGAACATTCAAATATCCTGTAGCCATCAGTTCCATTCTTAGCTTCATGCACAGCAGAAATGCATGTGAATAAATCCAAAAGCCATGTGCAGAGATGTTCATAGCAGCACTGTCATCATAGCCCAGTGTCCATCAGTAGCAGAATGGATGAGCAACCTGCTTTATACTTAAGTATGAAAACATCACAGCAATGGAAGAGAACAAACTAGTGCTACATGCAGCAACCAGACAGCGTGGGTGAGAGAAGCCAGACCGGGGCCTGTGCTGTTGCACTCAGGCTCTGCACCGGCACTCGTTGCTGGTTGTGAGGGTGTGTTCACATTTATACATTGATCAAGGCATATGTGAACATTTTTGCTCCGTTCTGCATGTATGTTATATAAAAAAAAGGGAAATAGGTCTGCACATAGCAGCCAGGCCACACATCTGCAAGCGAGCATTGTTGAGCAACGGTGATTCTAATGAGGCAGAGCCAGGAATGTCTGACCCACAGCCTGCCAGCCACACACTGATTTCATGAGGGCTTTCTTTGCTGATGTATGGTGCTGGAGGTCACAAAATGTATGTACTGACCATTTTTTGCTAATCTGCTTTTGTTAGTGTTTATTTAATGTGTGTGCCCCAAGACAACTCATTCTTCCAATGTGCAGTAGAGAAAGAAAGGTTGGAGACCCCTGAACCAAACTTTTCATTTTCTCTAAGAAGATTTTTAGATTATGCAATATTTAGGTATACTATAAAGAATAAAGCAGTGAAGATGTGTATACCTGCTACATATAAGAAATAATCCTTCAGTTTATTTAAACTGTCTTGAAGTATGCATATATATAAAAATTTTGCTTTGCTCTTTTAAAAATATTTTCAAAACCATGAAAGATACCATACTACATGACTTTATGCCCTGCCTTTTCCCACTCAAAGAAAGTCTTGGGAATTTTTCCTATCTTTTTTTTTTTTTTTTTTTTACAGACAGAGCCTCAAGCTGTCCCCCTGGGTAGAGTGCTGTGGCAGCTCACAGCAACCTCCAACTCCTGGGCTCAAGTGAGTCTCTTGCCTCTGCCTCCCAAGTAGCTGGTCCTACAGGTGCCTGTCACAATGCCTGGTTATTTTTTGGTTGCAGCCATCATTGTTGTTTGGCAGGCATATAGGGCCAGTGCCGTACTCCTTTGAGCCACAGGCACCACCCCATTTTTTGTATTTCTTGTGGACTACTGTTTGTATCCTTCTGGAATGAGAGAAGGACAGCTTTGACTACATTAAAATTTAAAACTTTTTGGCCAGGCACAGTAGTTTACACCTATAATCCTAGCACTCTGGGATGCCGAGGTGGGAGGATCTCTTGAGCTCAGGAGTTTGAGACCAGCCTGAGCAAGAGCAAGAACAAGACCCCATCTTTACTAAAAACAGAAAAATTAGTCAAGTGTTAACGGGCACCTGTAGCCTCAGCTACTCAGGAGGCTCAGGCAGGAGGATCACTTGAACCCAGGAATTTGAAGTTGCTGTGAACTATGATGACACCACTGCACTCTGCCCAGGGGGGCAGAGTGAGACTTAACAGAGTAAAAAAACAAGAAACAGAGTTTAAAGTTGTTTACTAAAGCAGGACACCATCATCAAAGTTAATGAGACAAGTTACCACCTGGAGGAAGATAGTTGCGATATTACGTTATAGACTCAAGGTTATTAATTACAACATGTAAAGAGTACCTACAAATCAGAAAAAAGCTAACAGCCCAATAGAAAATGGGTCCAAGGTGGGAACCCTTTCAGATTTTAGAGGAGGAAATTACACAGGGGCAGAGAAGGAAAAGTCTTACATGCAGGGAATTACTGGTAAAGTTGGGTCAAGGGCCCAGGTTTCTCTCCTAGTCTTAGGCTTTTTCTGTCACCTCATTGTCACTTGGACAATAAAGAGGCAGAGAGCTGCCTGTGTACTCACTCAGCTGACATTCACTGAGCAGGGCCCAGGGGTTAGACTCACAAAAAACATGTAAGGCCCAGACTAGGGAAGAAGAAGGCAGAGGGCTGAGCTTGGCGTGGTGAGGCAGGCTGCTGGGGAGGCAGGAGGATGAGGCCGTGGGACTGGACATGACGGTACCTAGGCTGTGTCCACCTCCGGCTAGCTGTATCCATCTCTTGCAGAGTCAGGACTGGAATACTACCCCCCTTCTCAGTACCTGCTGCCAGTTCTGGAGCAAGATGGAGCTGAGAACTCACAGGACAGCCTTGATGGGCCCAGAGACAGATTCTTGAGGGAGGAAGTGGAATGGCAGGTAAGGCAAGCTGCTTGCTGTGATTGTGTGTGTCCAGGAGAGCTGGGCATAGGGGGATGTTCAGAGCAACAACCCTGGATCCTTCCATCAAACTCACGTTGGCTTCCTTTTAGACTGATGTGTTGAGCAGCTTTGACAAGTCCACAGTAGCAGCCTCACCCAGCAGCTCAGCAAGCTGGTCTGTCTCCTGTCTCCTGCTGTGTCCTGCTCCTTTTTTTTTGTTTTGTTTTGTTTTGTTGAGATGGAGTCTCATTCTGTTGCCCTGGGCAGAGTGTTGTGCTTCATCATAGCTCACAGCAACTGCAAACTCTTGGGCTCAAGTAATCTTCTTGCCTCAGCCTCCTGATGCCACCAATGCCTGACTAGTTTTTCTTTTTTTTTTTGAGCCGGAGCCTCAAGCTATCCCCCTGGGTAGAGTGCCATGGCATCACGCTCAC